CAGTCAGGAACACACACAAACTGTTTCACAGTGTGAAACTGTAAACACAGAACTGTGTGAACTGTAACACAGTGTGTTACCTGTAACACAGTGTGTTACCTGGACACAGTGTGTTACCTGTAACACAGTGTGTTACCTGGACACAGAGTGTTACCTGGGACACAGAGTGTTACCTGGGACACAGTGTGTTACCTGGACACAGTGTGTTACCTGGGACACAGTGTGTTACCTGGGACACAGAGTGTTACCTGGGACACAGTGTGTTACCTGGACACAGTGTGTTACCTGGACACAGTGTGTTACCTGGGACACAGAGTGTTACCTGGACACAGTGTGTTACCTGTAACACAGTGTGTTACCTGGACACAGAGTGTTACCTGGACACAGTGGACACACCTGGGACACAGTGTGTTACCTGGACACAGTGGACACACCTGGGACACAGTGTGTTACCTGGACACAGAGTGTTACCTNGACACAGTATGTTACCTGGGACACAGTGTGTTACCTGTAACACAGTGTGTTACCTGGACACAGTGTGTTACCTGGACACAGTGTGTTACCTGGGACACAGTATGTTACCTGGGACACAGTGTGTTACCTCTAACACAGTGTGTTACCTGGACACAGTGTGTTACATGGACACAGTATGTTACCTGGACACAGTGTGTTACCTGGGACACAGAGTGTTACCTGGACACAGTGTGTTACCTGTAACACAGTGTGTTACCTGGACACAGAGTGTTACCTGGACACAGTGGACACACCTGGGACACAGTGTGTTACCTGGACACAGTGGACACACCTGGGACACAGTGTGTTACCTGGACACAGTGTGTTACCTGGACACAGTGGACACACCTGGGACACAGTGTGTTACCTGGACACAGTGTGTTACCTGGACACAGTGGACACACCTGGGACACAGTATGTTACCTGGGACACAGTGTGTTACCTGGACACAGTGTGTTACCTGGACACAGTGTGTTACCTGGACACAGTGGACACACCTGGGACACAGTGTGTTACCTGGACACAGTGTGTTACCTGGACACAGTGGACACACCTGGGACACAGTGTGTTACCTGGACACAGTGTGTTACCTGTAACACAGTGTGTTACCTGGACACAGTGGACACACCTGGGACACAGTGTGTTACCTGGACACAGTGTGTTACCTGTAAC